CCCTCCTCTCACACTCCCTCCCTCCTCATCCACTGCCCTGCCCTTCCCTTCGTTCTATTTGGATGTTTGTAGTATGTGGCACCTCTTGGTGTCATCCCCCTCTGTCTCTGTTTGTTTCCCCTCTCCTCCACTATACCTACCTCATTGCCTCTCCTCGTGGTGTCATCCTCCTCTGTCTCTCTTTGTCCGCTCTTTGTAGGTTGAGTTGATGCTGAAAGGTCGAGATCCTCTGACGGCAATGCGGAATATTTCACGGCTAGGGCTCTTTTCTACTGTATTTGCATTGCCAGAGCATGCAGAATTGGCCATTAAATTTGACTATGGAAGGTGAGAGATGCCATATTTTTCATGTCATCTGTTCGCAAATTTCGAATTGGTGATGATCCTCTTGGCAGATGTGTATGGAAGACAGAAAGAACATGAATGTGTCATTTCCCACAGCTGGAATGGAACTGATGGCATATCTCTATGCGTTCATTGGTCCAGACCCTGAAGGGATTTGTTCATTATGCCGAGAATAACTTGTCCAAAAGAAGGGGCATGGGTGTTGATATTATTGTGTTTAGCTGGGGTCCCATTTTTGATTGATCAACAAGTAACCTTGTAGAAATGGTTCTTGTGCTCTTCCACCCAATAGCCAGCTATGCTCCTTGCGTACCTTAGAGGTGAGCAAATGGAACTCAACATATACACTCATGCCATATATTAGAGTGCTGTTGACTCATCGATCGACTCGAGGAGATGTGGCTGTTCAGCCCAATCAGGGACCAATGTTTCAAATATAACTCAATTGCTGTGTTGGATTCTCCTGGAATGCCAAGTTTGTGTTGCCGCACGTTACGAGAGAACAGACCTGATGGGGGAGACCGCTTGCCAGAGAGAGCTTGCTTCAAAAGCAAGCAGGCACTCGAGAAGTCAGCAAAACTGTAATCGCCGTCATTGCACTCGGTCTGCGGGAGCGATTACAGATGGAACTCAGTCTTCGAGCCTGAATTGGACTAAGATAGAGTCCTTTTATTATGACTTTTAAGTCTGTAGACTCTGTAGTACTCTGTACAAGGTATAAACTGTAAACTTTATCTTCAAACACGTGAGCTTGGTTGTCTAGCCTCAGATGAAATTTCATACATACAGGAATGTGCCAGGGAATGAAATTTAAGTTTCAACATGTGCAATGCCATATAGAGAATCAGCATATTTCATGATATTTGACTCTGTATTTAGTATTTACGTTGCATTTATGGCATTTGCATGAGCTGTGGTATGCATATGCCGAAGTCAACCTAGTTATCCCTGCACAAGATCTTTTTTTTTTTTTTTTCAAGGTACATGCAAATGTACCTGGAGCATGCAAGGGGCAACCGTGTCATTTTCATTTTCAGATGGGATGTGAGTGGCGCGTGTGCGGATATCATCCCAGCAATTCTCCCTCCTCATTACGGCATAATAGCTGGATTGGATTCTTCCAGCTTGCTTATCTACATAACAGCTTTTTCAGTTCTCGTTTTTAGCCATATATATATATATCTTTTTTAATTTAAGATGGAGCCTACGACCGGACTTGAACCGGAGGCCTTTCCCTTACCAAGGGAATGCTCTACCACCTGAGCTACGTGGGCTCACGGGGAAATTGGAGACGACCGGACTTTTTTTTTTTTTTTTTTTTTTTCCGGTTTTGCGACGACGTATGGCACAGAAATGTAACCCCATTTTTTTTTCAGTTCGTTTTTTTTTTTGGTTAGAAAGGCTGCACATACACTGCGGTGCGCACCCCCCCCCACCTGTCTCTCCTTCCCTACCTCTTTAAGTTTGCTCCATTCCTGGAGGCTAGACGTTGGATGCTGGATTGCAGAGCAAGCTTGGAAATGATGGGATCGTTGATGCTATGATCGCAAAGAAATTGAAAGGATCCTTGAATTATGCGCAGTGTGGGATTTATCGTGCCGATTCTCAAAATCTTGTCTAAATTATAGTCTACGTGGAATCTAATAAACTATAAATTCGAATTGAATTTGATATGAGGAATTTTTGGCACGTTAGTATTTCGTAATCTGGTGACAGACAATTCTGTAGTCTATTATGATAGTATTATCTGATTTTATTATTGAAAACTTGAAAAGTGAGATACATTTTATACTATTATAGTGATATATTGAAGTTATTCACAGTGTAAGACACTGCTATTATGTGTTACATGGAATGCCATTTAATGTGATGGCCCCTGTCACCTCTTGTGGCTTGCCTTGCTGATCGACTTGTTCATGCTTGTCCTCTCCTCTCTCACACTTCTATGATGCTGACCACTACCTCCTTCTCTCCCGTCTCTCTCTCCCTCTCTGTGTGTGGCTTGCTCGTTATGCGAAGTGTTTGTGTAGCATGCCTGGAGGAGGTTCTTGATGTCTTGAAGCAATGGCCTCGGGATTCCTTTACGGTAAGCCCATGCTCTCTCTCTCTCTCTCTCTCTCTCTGTGTGTGTGTGTGTGTGTGTGTGTGTGTGTGTGTGTGTGTGTGTGTGTGTGTGCTGTAATTATTTTCAGATTGCATTGGCCCCTTTTGCATACTGAATCAAACTTGACCAAATATTGTAGCGAGGCAATTGCCACAGAGTTTGGTTGTTTAGGGTCTCCGGGATTTGGGACAGGTCTGACAATTTGATGGATGTGTCATGTGTGTGCATGCCTTTCTAAATCTGTGCACCTGATGACACGTCATGTGTGTGCCTGGCTTCATATTTCTCTGCAACTGATGACTTGTCACATATCCGATCTTTAAATCAGGTCATCAGATTCATAAAGTGTTTTAGAAGGTGAACATTCACTCTGACGTCCAGTGAGGGCTACCGGCATCTTGCCAAGTACACAATTAGGGCCTCGTATGGTATACAGCTACATTGGGTGTCAGTGGCTGTTGGGTGAATGTTAGACAGCTAGTACTGGTGGCTGGTAGGTGAATGGTACACAGATATAGCCTAGAACTAATGATCTACAGGTCAAGGGTTCGATACCTATTGAATGTAGAAATGTTATGAAGGGTAAGTTGGATAACCCCTTAAGAAAAGGGTCATCGACTCATCGGTATCACTGGGCTAGATTGTCCAGGCCATCTGTTCACAGTACTTCATATACCTATACCCCATTGATTGGTGCGTTAGTCACATATGTGTGTGTGTGTGTGTGTGTGTGTGTGTGTGTGTGT